ATTTACACAATCACATCTGTGTGTGTGAATTTACACAATCCCACCTCTCTGTGTGCTGCCTGGTTCTGGGGATGCTGGTTTGGCTGGGACAGATGGACTCAGTGCCATGGGCACGTGCCTGCCCGTGGTGTGAGTGGGTTTGGGTCCATCACATCCCTGCTGTGATCCCAGAGCATCATCCCCAGCTGGAGGGGCTGGCCCTGCAGGATGGGAACCAGCTCAGGGTTCCTGTTTGTATTTCCCTGTGTGAGACCCAGCTCAGTGCTCCTGTTTGGGTTCCCTGTGTGAGACCCAGCTCAGTGCTCCTGTTTGTATTTCCCTGTGTGAGACCCAGCTCAGTGCTCCTGTTTGTATTTCCCTGTGTGAGACCCAGCTCAGTGTTCCTGTTTGTATTTCCCTGTGTGAGACCCAGCTAACTGCTCGTTTGTTTTCCCCGTGTGCAGCTGAGCAGAGGACACCAGGTGGCCCTGTCCTCCATCACTTACATCGGCTGTGCCCTGTCCATCTTCTGCCTGACGATCACTCTGGTCACATTCGCCGTGCTGTCGTGAGTAATTTTCACTTCTCACCCCTGAGCAGAAAGGCAGCAGAGCATTCCAGGTGACTGGCTGGGATCCCTTCAGGTGCTCGGGATAAAACAAAGGCTATTAATTCTACAACCCTCCTTAATTAGATTCTGCACATGTATTTGTAACACTTGGTTGGTTATTTCTAAATTACTTTCATTTCCCGAAATGGGATGGTCTCTGTAGAGCAAGCTATTTCCATCTCATGAGAGATTTTAAATTTTTTTTTAAACTGCCCACGCTTTGCCATAGCTCAGGAATCTTGCAGAGAGGTTTGCAGGAGGCTCTGGGCTCCAGAGCAGTGTGAGCAGGGACTGCAGCACCCCCCTCTGCCCCCCATTTTTGGGTTGCACTTTGTGCTTTTGCACTGGCCTGGCTGCTGGGGAAGGGATGCCCAGTAAGGAAGTGTCAGTCAGCACTGCCTGCCTGCCTGTGTCTCACACACTGGTACACAATTACCTGCCAGGAGCCGTGTGTGTGTGTGTTCAGAGCCCTGCTGCTCTCCAGAGGATGCTCTGCTGTGCTCCTGGGGTGAAGGGCACTGTGAGCAGAGCGAGATTCACTCCATGGCTCAGCTAACAGAGCCCTGGCAGGGCTCTCTGTGCTGGGGCTCTGCTCCAGGGCACTCAGGCTCTTTATTCCTGTTCGTGTTCCAGTTGTGACAAATGAGTTTGAGGCTCAGCTGGGCTTGATGCAAACGTTTCTGGAAAAAAAAAAAAAAAAAAAAGGTTTCGCAAAGGTTTGTGTCTAAATAAAAACCAGAAAAACCTGACTAAGGGTGACGCCACTTGTCCAAGGTTGTGCAGCACTTCAGGAGCACAGCAAGGAGTGGGATTCTTGTTTCCTTTCACACACTAAACCAGATTGTTCCCACTTAAGAGCTGGATTTTTGTTTGCTTGCCTAAGCAGGCATTTTGGACATCCTGCTATGAGGCCAGTTTCCAGGGAAAAGGACTTGCTGAATCTCAGTAAACTGATTGCAATGCTTGTTTTTTTTCCAGACCTCCTGTTATTTCCAAGTTTTAAGATCTGTGTTGGTCATACTTGGATTAGGAGCAAAACGTGTGGCAAAACCCACTCGAAATAGGTCCAGATTGTGCTGTTGGCATGTTTAGGCTAAGGGAAATAATCTGCTCCATTTTAGTCTGAGTGCAAAATTGGATGCTGGAGTGTTTAGAAATGAAAAAGGAGCAAAAGGAGGAGGTGTTGCTGCAGCAGGGCTGAAAACTCCTCAAGGGACTGGAGGCAAACAGAAGATTTGTAAGGGAGCTTGGATTGGAGCCAGCTGACTGTCACAGGGTTAAGCACCCCACCTACAAAGAGCAGCCTTCAAACTGCCAATTCCAATCCTCTGGTTTTCTTCTCACTGGAGAGCAGGGTCTCTTTAGGCAGCTGAAGTGGAATTTTGCAATGTGCTCTTGGCTGATTGTGACATAAGTGGAGAAGAATCTGGTGCTGGCTGTGGCAGCCCCTGCTCCCCCCTGGTGACACTGCCCAGCTTGTGACACAAGGAGCCCCTCCTCAGAAAGCCACTGGCACCAGGCAGAGCATCCTCAGAGTTCCTTTTTGGGATCTGGAAACTTCACCTCCCTGTTCACTGCCTTCACGTGGGGCAGTGCAGCAGGCAGGGTGCACTGGAACAGAACTGTTCTCACCAGGACTGTTTGTTTTTTAAAGAGAACAGAATTAAAGGCAAGGCCTGAGATGTTCAGATCAATGTTTTTGTTTTCTGTTTCCTTTTTCTGGATGAGAACAGAAACGCGAGGTCAGCAGACTTCCAGGAAAACCTGTTCTTGTCACATTTCCAGCTGGTTTTGGAAAAGCCAAGAGAGATAAGTTCAAATGATGTTGAAACCACAGTCAGGTCCCTGTCCAGACAGGCACTGCCCATGTGTAGATGGAGCTATCATTCCTGTGCCCACAAGTTCTATTTGTATAAATCAGATTTGGAACCAATGCCTTTTCACTTTCCCTATTTCCCATACAGGCAAACACCAGCAAAGCAAACCCAGGAGCTCTGGCACAGCGTGGGCTGAGTGGTGCCAGTGCCTGCTGTGAGGAGTGGCTGTGACCCCCTTGGCATCACAGCAGCCTCAGGATCAAACCTTTATTGATATTATATCAAACCCTTTATTCATATTATATCAAACCTTTATTGATGTTATATCAAACCCTTTATTCATATTATATCAAACTTTTATTGATATTTTATCAAACCCTTTATTGATATTACATCAAACCCTTTATTGATATTATATCAAACCTTTATTGATATTCTGCCACCAGCTTTCTCATGTGCAGATCAATCTGCTGGGTACCAGGGGAACCAGTCAGGTACCCCCCAAGGAAGGAGGGCTCAGAGGACACCAGGGTGACCCCAGCAATCCCCAAGGGCAGCTCAGTGTTTGCTGCTGCCCCCAGCAATCCCCAAGGGCAGCTCAGTGCCTGCTGCTGCCCCCAGGTGCCCCCGGGGCTGTGTCTGAGCTCTTTCTGTCCCGCAGGTCGGTGAGCACCATGCGGAACCAGCGGTATCACATCCACGCCAACCTGTCCTGTGCTGTGCTGCTGGCCCAGGTGCTGCTGCTCACCAGCTTCCAGCTCAGCCCCTCCACTGTGAGTGCCAGCAGCCGTGGGGGCTCTCTGGGGACGGCTGCCACATGGGGGGACGTTTCTTCCACGTGGGATCTGTTTTTAATCTGCCTTAGATTCCTTAGGCTGCTGGCTGGGCTCTCCAGTTGTCAGCTCTAAGAGCAGCAGGGACAACATCTGGAATGTTCTGCTAAAAGTGGAGTTTCACAAGGGGAACGAGAGACATGCTTGGGTTTAGAGTGTAAAGGCTCAGCTTCTCAGTGCTTTTATACAAGGCCATTTTGCCATATAAGAGTAACTTGTAAGGAATAATTAAGGCAAAAAAACCCCACCAGAACGAGCAGCAACTTTGCTGTGGGTTTTATGTACAAATCTGAAACTAGGCATTATAGAAAATGATATACAGACCAACCTCCTGCTACTTCACTGTGTGTTATTTTTCTGCTGTTTCATGATCCAGATTGTTTGGCTACTCAAAAGTTGGAAATTATCCATTTGACAGAACTAGCCTGTAAGTCAGCTTTGTGTTGCATTTATAGTTTTGTGGTCTAATCTTCTGGTAGAAATCAAAAGGCATTAAAATGGATTTTATAGCCTTATGATAAAATTAACTGGAAAGGCTCTTACAGCTTCTGTCAATAAGCTAATCTGGTTTAATAATATGTCACTGAACTTTGTGAAATACTAAACCACATCCAGACCCCACTTACATGAATTAACCCCAAATTTATTGCTTTTGAATACATGTAGTCCATTGGATTTGCATTAGAATGTCCTTGCACTGGTGCAAGTGAGTCTGCTCAGGAAAGCCTCAGTTTTCATTTTACTGCCAAGTCCCAACGTGTTAATTGTCATTGGAGTGCAAAACCCCAGATCATCAACAGAAAGAATGAAATGCCAGCACAGCACAGCTCAGCTCACACCACAAAGGGAATTAACAATTAACATGTGAGGCAGCAAACTTTTAAGACAGGTTTACATCAGTGATTTAACATTTAGCCTGTAAATGTCTATAGAAATAAAAAAAAATAAAAAGGAAAACCAATGTGACTGTAGCACAAAGAACTAATATATTCCTTTTTACTCTTAATTTAGCTGCCTTGCAAGATATTGGCCATTCTCCTTCATTTTTTCTTCCTGAGTGCGTTTGCATGGATGCTGGTGGAAGGATTTCATCTTTACAGCATGGTGATCAAAGTATTTGGGTCAGAAGAGAGCAAGCACTTGTATTATTATGGAATTGGATGGGGTAAGCATTTAGTAGCTGCTTTCTTTAAGTCTCCTCAGTACAGGACAAGATTATATTCAGAAGCATATTTGGAATTGTCATCTCATGATCACAGTTTGCCTTACTGAGAGCAGGTCTGTTGGACGAGGAAATGCAGAATTTCTGTGACTGCAATCAGGGTTCAAAACGTGGAGTCCTGGAGCTTAATTGCCCTGCAGGGAATGGCAGAACCTCTGCAGGCCAGAGCAGAGCCTCCCTCAGCTACCAAATCAATGGCAGGGCTGGGGGAGGGAATCTCCCTGCACTGCTGGGCTCTGACTCCCACCACGGGATTGTTAAACCAGTGCAATATTCTGTGTGTGTTCTGCAGAGCCCTGCATGGCACATGGCCACAGAAATGTCCCAGAAACGTCCCAGAAATGTCCCAGAAATGTCCCAGAAATGTCCCAGAAATGTCCCAGGACTTCCTTGGCTGCTGCTTGTGCCTTGGGATGCTCAGAGTGCACAGAACCCCTCAGTGCTGTTAGGGGTGGTTCTGTGACACGGGAATGTCCCAGGCACAACACAGGACAGCCCAGGCGTGGCAGTGGAAGCACAACCTCTGTTATAACGTGTCATGTGTGTGTCATGTGTTATACACATGTGTGTGTCATGTGTTATAACGTGTCATGTGTGTGTCATGTGTCACACCCCTGTCTCTGTGTGTGTCATGTGTCATACACGTGTCTGTGTGTATTTCATGTGTCACACACGTGTCTGTATCTCTATCATGTGTTATAACATCTGTGTGTATTTTATGTGTTGTAACACACGTCTGTGCGTGTGTCATGTGTTATAACATGTCTGTGTCATGTGTTATAACATGTCTGTGTGTGTGTGTCATGTGTTATAACATGTCTGTGTCATGTGTTATAACATGTCTGTGTGTGTCATGTGTTATAACATGTCATGTCTGTGTCATGTGTTATAACATGTCTGTGTCATGTGTTATGTCATGTGTGTGTTGCACACACGTGTGGGCAGCCAGAAGTGAGTGTTTTCTTGCAGGATTTGCAGCAGGGGAGCCTCCTGCTCTCACAGCCCTGCAGGAGCTGCAGTGGTGCCTCCACACTTGGGAGGAGAGGGAACCTCAGACACTGAGCCAAAGAAGAGGTGTGAGAAAACACAAAAGGAATATCCATCAATCACAGACAATTTCCAAATATGTTAAAATATTCATTGCCTTTCTTCCCCTCCAAATTCATTTGGAGATGCAGGCAGAACAATTGTATCAATGATACAGACCTGCTGCAGTCATAATTGAAATATTTAACAC